GAAGCTCAAGGTGTCGGGTGTGATCTTCCAGTTGACAATGCTGCACGAGCTTCGTAATATGCTTCCACTGCACTTTGTTACGGAAACGTCCGACGGCGACGACAACGACGACTCGTTACTATCGTTGCTCGTGATATTACGTCAAGCTCTGAATCGCGTGCGCTATTCTGGCGATTGAAAGAACGTTGTTCGCTCCGTGGCGCATCATGCTTTGCTCTACAACCTTCGTGACGACGAGTTCCGAAAGTTTATCCGAGTTAGCAAGAGCACGTTTAATGTTTCAGTGGAAATGATTTGCGAAGACATTTCCCGCCACCTAATCTCCCCGCTTCTAACCTTGTAACCTGTCGGTCTGTCCGTCCGTCAGTCCGTCGCATTCCCCGTCTTGCTGCTTTTTCCTGCCTTTTCGCATGGCTACACTTGGCCTGTCTAATACAGTTTCCTCCCATCCTACCGACCGCGCCTACCTTTCTGACTCGACCTCACTATGCCAAAATTACAATTATATCCAAAAGCGTGACACAATTAACTCGCGCCTTGATTGGTCAATACCTGCTGACCTGCGACACTGACTGGATCTGTCGCACGATCAGACCGTCTATCGCCCTCGCGATTGGACGTAAGGTAAACATTTCTGCCGAGCACGAAACGCATCGATTGGATGCAAACGGCCAGGCGATGCGCAGATACTGCAAATCGGGCACACTAACCACTTTATTTTCTAAGAGCTCTGCACACTTCTCAAATAGAAATATTTATCATTATTAATGTAGACTTCACAGACCAGTATTTTGTAAGAGCTCTGGGATGTTATTTTCCACACACTTTTCAAAGTAATGACGATATTAATAGTACTAATATGCTTAATATAAGCTTCACAGGCCGCATTTGTAAGAGCTCGGCGATGCTATTTTCCACACATTTTCTAAAGTAGAGACGATAGTATTTTAATATTAAAGTAGACTTCACGACCAGCGCTTTTTGTAGCGACTTTGCGAATATATATATTTTGTACTTTACCTGGAACTCACCACTGCCACCGTGCAATGAAGGCGCGCAGCTGCACGGGCATTTCGCTATCTGCTTCCGTGCACCACACCCGACAGATGCATGCGCGCACGATAGATAATTGTCTTAGGCAATTTAAATTGCATGTAAAGTATGTTTTTGTTTGGAAATCTGATAATAATATATTATAGCAAAGCCAAAACGTTAGTATCAACTTTTTAATATGTTTCTAAATAATAAATACCAGCCTTATATTTCCAAGCTATTGGCTAATATTTGGACGCAAGTAATTGGTTAAAACAAAATATTTTGCTAACATCCGCACGTTTGCAAAATGGTGGGCCCTACGTGCAAGCAATGCGAGGCGAAGATTGACCCGCTTCTGCTGAACCCGCAGCGGTCTACGACGGACCCCCGAGCGCGCTGCGTCTGCTGCGGGAAGCTGCAGTACGGCTACGCATTCCGTACAATCAGCGGGCGGGACATCGTGCGGCGCTGTATTGCCTGCGAGAACAGCCCAAAAGCGGTTAAGTCCTGGGAGGAAAAGCCCCCACCACCTGATTCGGCCGAAATGCGCCGCCAGGAAAGCCTGGCAAACGTCAAGAAGGAGAGACTGGTACCCCAAGAATAGAAAGAGACGCAGCCGCCATCGCAAGCCGACCACCCGAAACGCCAAGTACATCGAGCAAAAGAAGCAGCAGAAGAGCAAGTAATTTGGATAATATATCCTTATTGCCCCCGTTACCCCGCTTATCTTTGTATTTTGTATACTGGCGGGCGGCGCGAGGCTTGGGGCCGCACATATGGTAAACTAACTGTGGTGCTGCCAAGCATCTACGGAGTGTAGCGCGTTTCGTATAATAATTAGCGCATGGTGTCTACTGTGTACCCTTGCGAGCTGGCCGTTCCTATCTGCATACGCGTTACCGTAGATGGAAAGTACACTTGCTCACTTGGCACACGCAAACCCATGCTATATGTACCACCAACCCTCACAGTTTATATTTCACTAATGTGCGCTCACGAATGTAAGCTTCAGTATCGAGTGAGCACTATGCGCGATGAATAAGCTGCTGTCTACATGGACACAACCTGGTATGCGGTAGTGATGACCATACAAGCGGCCATCGCAAGGAGATGTGTCTGTACGCAGTACTTTACTTTAGCGCCCTGTCCATAATGGCCGAGATAAGAGCTCGGTTGAGTCACGGATGGCTATAATGTGTACCCGCCGCGCGCGTATATATTGCTTTGAATACTGCTAACAGACGCCTGATCAGCTTGCCTGTATCACCGCGGGTATGACCTGTGCCCGAATAGTGACGTGCTGGATCATATAGACGGATACATCATAATCGTAGGTACAGTAGGCTAGCACGACGATACAAAAGTACCGAGATCGCAGCAGTAACCCAGTGCATGGGTGCTGGCTATCACGACAACACCCATTGGCGGCATTGCGGGATATGCACGGACACATCAAATAGCACGCCGAGCTGATAAGTAGGCAGCGAAAGTACTCCATCTAATGTACATGAACTATTATTCAATTCAAGTCTAACCATCACTACGATCTGATACTCTGCCTACAGCCATATATCTTCGTATGTTGCAGCCGGTCAAAAGAATGTGCACGCAGTGGTGCCTCTTCGTCCGATGTGGACGAGGCCTTTTGTCGTACATATCGGACCCAGTATTATGTCAGTCGGAAAGGATTTACGCCACTCTGTCAGTCAGAAGCTATACAAATAAGTCAGAAAGTACGTCAGCTATGCAAGTAAGATCAATGCATGCGGAAGATAGTGGAAATACCCTTCAGTAACATCACAAACAGCTCAGCAGAATAATTTCAAAGCATAATATTGATGTTTGTGGCGACCATCGGCATATACTACCTATCCTAAAAGATACTTCGCGCGCGGAGCTGATTAACATTGCTCTATTCGACCGTCGCAATCGGTGATATGTGTCGACTGCCTCACGGCGATGACGTGCAGATGGGTAAAATACGTTTGAGTAGGCGTACTTACTCTAGCTACACTGGGATTCCTCACCGATCAACGTATATTCCGTAGCATCATTGATACTGACCCGTCTTCCGTACAGTATATATTAGCTTTGCAACCACGCGCGCCTCCGATTCGTGTCATTTTGGGAGCAATGCGCTCAAACGAGATTATAGACAAGAACTTCCCGGGTAAGACGGTGCTCTTCTTGCAGATCACGTTAAACCCTGGTCATGTCTACAATAACATGTGAGCACTACGGATACTGTGTGCGGTGCTGTTTTGGAGCATAATATACGTAGATCACAGTATACATGTACTATATGTTGCTTCGCTTTGAGTAGAAATTCTAAGCCCACCGCAGCGCAGCGGAGGTGGTCGGCCCTCTCTACACCAACCAACCATGCCCTAGCGTTCGCGGAGCGGGCGCCCAGAGCGCTAGTCGCTCCGCTTCTAACCTTGTAGCGTGTCTGTCCGTCCGTCCGTCCGTCCGTCTGTCAATCAGTCCGTCCGTTTCCTCTCTTGCTGCTTTTTCCTGCCTTTTGGCATGACTACAGTCGGCCTGTCTAATACAGTTTCCTCCCATCGTACCGACCGTGCCTACCTTTCTGACTCGACCTAACTATGCTAAAATTACAATTATATCCAAAAGCGTGACACAATTAACTCGCGCCCTGATTGGGCAATATTTTTCGACTCACTTTTCATTCAAAACACAAAATCGGATTTTTGAGCGACGGCGCGGAGAGGACAAGGTGCGCTGGCTGTATAATAGCAGTAGGGTAGTTTTAGATGTATATGCATGTATGTACGGGCGTGGGGCTCCTTGCCCTACTTTATATTCAAGAGAGACCTCTCAGGATACAGTCTGAGGCTTGCCCCGAGACTCCAAAGTGGTATGGCAGTTGGTAGCGATAGCAATCAGGTTGGGGTGGGTGTGACTGGGAGCGTCTACCACCATGCACGCGCCTAGGGGTCCTAGACCCACCGCGAGTGTCCACGCTCCAAAAGCGAGTGGCGCGTGCTGCCAATTGGCCAAACCGAAGTTGCAGCCACATGCGGAAGAATCGTTACAGTCCCGCAATACAGAGGTGCTCTTAAAGTGTGAGCTCCCACATCAAAACACACTTTGCGAGAGCACTTCTGGCGGGACGGAAAGGAATGCAGCAGTCGGTCTCACAAGAGCAAGGAGCCCAAGACCAAGTGCAAGGACAGCTCAAGAACAAGAGATCAAGACAAAAAAAACACTTTAAGAGAATGAGTGAGCCCCGCGCCTGTACACTTAGATAGCATAGCGTCATAATAGACAGTTTTAGAGCATTTTCGGAACTGTGTGAGCCCCGTGAGGGGCTGGGTCGTTCTCGGACACTACTGACATAACCTGAAGGGCTGGACGGTATCGAACAGACCTGGGCAACCACTCAACAGGGATGAGGCAACAGCTTTGACGTACCCAAGAGGCAACAGCGCGATGCGGCGTCTTAATTACCATGTACAGCTGCTTGGTCCACAGCCGTGCAAGGTAATTTGGACCCGTCGGACCGTGAGCTGAGGGCTGTAACACGTCGGCCAAGGGGAGGGCCTAAGCAAAAGCTGACTGGACCAACAAGCCCCCTAGAGTGACGATACCCCTAAGTTGTTTGTAATCCGAGGAGCCGGGATGGAAATGACAGTGGTGTGCTATATTCACAGAGAGCTTCTGGATTAGTACTGGAAAGGAAAGTTCGGGGTTCTATTCGAATACCACGTTGCTTAAGCTACTGTGTCCATGTTCTGGTGCTTATATTCATGAAATAGCTGTAAAATAGCTCCCAGTGCACTTAGACTTTCGAGTCTAACCGCCCATGTAATTATTTTCCATTTAGATCAGGCGATAGACGCGTTCAAGGTAGAAGGACATGGCAAGAGGCCCGAGGAAAAGAAAAAGGTTCCCCAACAATTGTGTAGCGGGCTTTGATGCAGAATTAACTCGACTAACTCTGTCCAATGGTTAGAATTACCCGCGAGGAGCTAGACGATCGCGTGCAACGAGCCCGGAGTGAGAACGCATCCCAATCCCACGAAGAATCGCGTAAGGATAGACAGCTCCGTAAACAGAGGCTTCGTACCGCAGAGGCCCGCTACCGCAAGGCAATCCAAGAATTGGAGCAGCTTGAGTTAGTTGAAACCCCAGCACCAACTGAATCCGGACAGATGAGAGTAACTGGTCCGGCGGTAGAGAGTGAGGAGAAGACAGAAGAAGACGATCCGGCTGAGCATCAACGACGATTTGAGGAGGACGCGCATTGCGAACACCCTGTCGACAATGCCCGCGGCTTCCAGATTGGAGCGTCAGGGAATGCAGACGATAGAGCTGCGGCTACACGTGCGCGCGATGCGGAAAGAACACGGGCCAGGCGAGCTGCTATGACGAGCTCACAAAAACTACGGACACGAGCGAAGGATGCGGAGAGGAAGCGGATACGTAGAGCTAACAGATCCGACTCCCGAGTTATCTTAGACCGCGGACGAGATGCCGAGCTAGCGAGGGTACGACGCGATCGAATGGCTCCAGAAGACCTGGCAGCTCATCAAGCGTATTATCGAGATGCGCAGTCCAACCACAGAGCCACAAGAACAGAGGAGGACAGTCAAAATGCAAGGATTCGTGATGCAGTGGGACACGACAGTCGCAGGGAAGGCATGTCAGATGCACAGCGCCAAGCGGAGCGTGACCAAAATACAGACGCACACCGATATCGCAGGAACGGCATGTCCGATGAGCAGCGTCACGCTGAGCGTCATGTAAACGCAGCACAGCGGAGAGACTTCAGAGAGGGCATGACGGATGAGCAGCGCCAAGCTGAGCGCGATCAAAACACAGCTGCCCGGAGAGACTTCAGAGGGGGCATGACGGATGAGCAGCGCCAAACTGAGCGCGATCAAAACACAGCTGCGCGGAGAGACCATAGAGGGCGCATGACGGATGTGCAGCGCCAAGTAGGTCGCGATGAGAATACAGCGGCGCGAAGAGACCATAGAGGGCGCATGACGGATGTGCAGCGCCAAGTAGATCGCGATGAGAATACAGCTGCGCGAAGAGACCATAGAGGGGGCATGACGGATGAGCAGCGCCAAGTAGATCGCGATGAGAATACAGCGGTACGAAGAGACCATAGAGGGGGGATGACGGATGAGCAGCGTCAAGCAGAGCATGAGCGGGACGCAGCCGCGCACAGAGCTCGAAGAGACGCCATGACGGAAGAACAAAGGGATCAGCGAAAAGAGCAAGAGCGGTTCCGCAGACGATCTCGGCAGTATAAGAAGGGCCTCGCGTACCACGATAGTTTTGACCCTTCCACGGTGGCTGGTGGCCGTCATTACTTTACGCGTTACACGGACGACAACGGGGAGAACGAGCGAGTTTGTCACTACTGCAACGCTTGGAAGTTTCCGCAAGAAACCGACGGATGCTGCTGTCGTAACGGACTGGTGTTCGTTCCATCTTCGCGAACAGCACCTGATGCTCTACTATCACTTTTCGAAAACCCGACCTTCATGCGGTCAATCCGAGCCTACAACAACGTATTCGCATTTACGTCCATGGGAGCTTCGCGGTCTCGGCCTCTCAACGTCGACGAAAGCGTGACACGGAATGGTGTCTACAACTTCCGGGTACAAGGGTCAGTGTGCCATCGCTTGGGTTCGTTACTACCTCCAACATTCGGCCGCTCCATGTATGCCCAAGTTTACTTTAACGATCCAGACATGGATGCGCGTGTGCGAAGCCGTATGAACATGACGCAAGGCCTCGATCGCGCCGTCATGGAAACAATTGACCAGATGATGGTGGCGCACAATCCGTACACACAAGAATTTATCAACGCGCGTAGATTTTTGATAGATCGTGGCTGGGATGCGTATGCAGCAGCCATCAGGGAACACGAACGACGCCGAGCGGCAGGGGAAGACGTTGATGACCATGACCCGTCGTTAGCCTTGAGTAATTTTCTTCCGGAGGGGGATCACCTTCAGCTGCGTCTGCACGTCACACGGAATGCGAATCCGGGTACGCATAACACCCCAACTGCATCAGAGGTGGCAGCCGTTGTGATCGACACAAACGCGGCTGAGCATCGGGATATTATCCTACACACAACAGGAGGAGGTTTCAAGCGCATCTTTGAGACGAGCGTTACCTACGACCCACTGCAGTACCCTCTACTGTTTCCCTATGGAGACAATGGATGGACTTACGATATCCCCTACGTTGGTAATCCCGTCGATCGCCACGGTGACCCCTTAACCATGTCCGTTCGGGAATATGAGGCGTATCTGCTTTACGACCGGACGGTTAGTAATTCTCTTATCCTGCGCGGTGGGCGACTGACGCAGCAATACTGCGTTGACCAATGGGCCAAATGCGAACAAGAACGCCTGCGCTTCATCAAGAAGAACCAGCTCCAGTATCGATTGGAAACCCTCCAGGGACTCACGGACGCGTTGCGTGGCGAGTCTGTTGAAATCCACAGAATGGCAGCTGACGACGAGGCGGCCATACGTAGGACTCGGCGTGGGGATAATACGGAGCAGGAGTCAGCGGAGCCAGATGCGGGTGAGGTTGGACGCAAGATAATCATACCTCCGAAGTTTACAGGTGGTCCCCGCTATATGTACCAACGCTTCTTGGATGCCATGGCTATCGTCCGTGAAACAGGAGCCCCGAACCTGTTCATTACGATGACATGCAACCCGAACTGGCCTGAGATCAAGGAAAACTTACGCCGTGGAGAGAAAGCATCCGACCGACCGGACATCGTGGCTCGCGTGTTCATGGAGAAACTAAAAGCTCTTAACAAGGATCTCGATGAGGGTGTGCTGGGGATTCAAGCCGCTCGAGTCCATGTAGTGGAATATCAGAAGCGTGGTCTTCCCCACGCCCACATACTGCTTATCCTGCGTCCGGAGGACAAGCCCACTACCAAGGAAGACGTCGATAAGCTGGTGTCCTCGGAGCTCCCGGATAAAGAGAAGTACCCCGAGCTGTACGATACGGTGATTTCTAATATGCTGCATGGACCCTGTGGTCAACAGAACCCGAATTGCCCGTGTATGAAGAACGGAAGGTGTTCCAAGAAGTTTCCAAAGGCGCTCGCAGCCGAAACGGTGATGACCCCCGACAAATACCCCACGTACAAGCGTGGTCGCCGTCCGGATGGAATTCTGTGCCATAAGGGGAAAGTATGGGACAACGCGACCATCAATCAATGGGTGGTCCCGTACAATCCGTTCCTGTCGCAGAAATACAACTGCCACATTAACGTCGAGGTTTGTGCCACGAACAAGGCCATCAAGTACATCTACAAGTACGTCTACAAGGGCTCGGACATGACGACAATCACGATTGAAGGCGAAGAAATTCGGGCGAGCGAAATTCTTCAGTATCTCCTCGGGAGGTATATTTCTCCGGTAGAAGCTTGCATGCGGCTATTCATGCATCCAACACAAGGATCAACACATTCTGTTGTGACGCTACCTATTCATTTGGAAAGAATGAGCATGGTTGCTTATCGCGACCAAGCGACGACCCCCCAGCTTCACAACTTGATTAACCGCGGGGACAGATCAATGCTGACGGAGTTTTTCAAGCTGTGCGCGCGTAACCCAGAAGCTACAGCAAATCTACTGTACAAGGATGTACCGCGGAAGTACAGGTGGACGGAACACAAGACGTGGGAACCGTACAAGAAGTACGTTGCTTCTCTGGGACGCTTGGTACACGTATCTCCGCAGGACCCAGAACGCTTCTACTTGCGACTTCTCCTGTGTAACCGACGCTCGCCTAAGTCCTTTGCGGATCTTCGAACGGTTGATGGTACGGAACATCCTACATATCAGCAAGCCGCTTTGGCGCTTGGGTATTTGGAAAATGACGACGAGTGGATACATTGCTTACGCGAAGCCGCCGAGGTCAAGATGCCGTACCAGCTACGCCAACTCTTCGGCATCATTTTGGTTTACTCCATGCCTGGTAATGCCAAAGATCTATGGGACAGGTTCAAGAAGGATATGTCAGAGGATTATGCACGAAGCATTGAGGTAAGAGACGCAGACCTGCATAATGTACGCGAAGAGGAGGTGCGTCTTCGAATGGCGGAGTACAAGTCGTTGAAGAATTTGGCTGATTACTTGGTTTCGAACCAAAAGTCCCTCGACATGTACGGCCTTCCTCTGCTAGCCGATTACGACGATGTATCCGCTCAAGTAGACGACCCGGATTCAGAGTCTGTTGATGTTGTCCAGCAAGAGATTGACGCGTACCCCCTAAACGAACTGGAGCATGTTGCGGAGCAGGCAGACCACTTGAACAGCAACCAGAGGGATATTTTTGACCAAGTTATTGCTGCTGTGAGCAGACCGGTTGGAGGGGAGAAGCTTTTCTTTTTGGATGGTCCGGGTGGAACAGGAAAGTCGTTTCTACTCGAGCAAATACTCGCTCACGTTCGGATGCAACGTAAGGTTGCCATCGCGGTTGCATCGAGTGGGATTGCAGCCACTCTGTTAACTGGAGGTCATACCGCGCATTCAACGTTTCGGATTCCCCTCAAACTAACAGAGACGTCGACGTGCAGCCTTTCATGGCAGAGCCAAAAAGCCGAATTGATTCGTAGCGCGAGTTTGATCATTTGGGACGAAGCGCCGATGATGAACCGAGCTTGCTTTGAGGCTGTTGACAGGTCGCTTCGGGATATCATGAAGAACGAGCTGGAGCCGTTCGGTGGAAAGGTAATGGTGTTCAGCGGTGATCACCGCCAGATTCTACCTGTACTTAAGAATGCTACGCGTGCGGAGACGATTCAAGCTTGCTTCAAGTCTTCTCCCCTATGGGAGCATTTGCGTCAAGTGCGGCTGACCGAGAACATGCGTGTCCGCACCGCCCCAGACGCGGCCAGTGCGGCTGAGCTAGCAGAGTTCTCTGAATTTTTACTTCAAATCGGAGAAGGCCGTTATCCAGTCAACCATGAGATCGGTGATGGCGACATATGCCTTCCACGCGACATGTGTATCATCCCAGAACGACGGGTCCAACAAATTACCTCTGATGAAGAAGACGCGGATATGGAGCCTCCCCCAAGTTTCAGGCTACTACCTCCGGCGGACGAGGAGCACGAGCGAGACTTGGACGAAGTTGAAGAAGACCGACGAGTCCGCAATGTCAACGCCTTGATAGATGCGGTGTACCCGGGCGTTGATACTGAGAATTTACCCGATGAATACTTCGTTGAGCGGGCCATACTAGCCCCCACAAATGCAAGTGTTCGGCGTATCAACGACATGGTTGCGGAACGGCTATCGGGTGAGACGAAGGAGTATCTCTCGGTGGACAGCCTCGAAGGGGTCGCGGATACAAACATGTTTGAGCAGGAGTTCTTGAACTCGCTTAACTTCTCCGGTATCCCTCCGCACAGAATTGTTCTGAAGGTTGGAACACCTATCATCATGATTAGAAACCTGAATAGCGACGCAGGACTTTGCAACGGAACGCGGCTTCGGGTTGTGTCACTGCGCGAGAGAAGCATCGAGGCCAGCATTATGTCCGGGCCGTTCAAGGGTAAGAAGGTGTTCATTCCTCGGATCGTCTTTTATAGTGAGGACGATGACAAGGAGTTCCCGTTCAAACTCAAGCGTAAGCAGTTCCCCGTGGTTCCAGCGTTTGCCATGACTATCAACAAGGCCCAAGGACAATCGATCCACCACGTGGGTATCTACTTGGAATCACCGGTCTTCGCACATGGCCAGCTGTATGTGGCTTTGTCGAGAGTGACTTCAAGGAAGGCGATCAAGATTGCTGTGGATCCAGAGGCCATCGATGAGGACGGGAGCGTACACACCAACAATATTGTGTACAGAGAGATCTTTGGAACGCGGACTTGGTAGGGCACGTAATGCATATAATACATTTAGCTTTGATTTCAGAATGTTCTTTCATCCGCCGTAGCGCAGCGGAGGCGGACAGCCCACACTACACCAACCAACCATGCCCTAGCGTCCGCGGAGCGGGCGCCCAGAGCGCTAGTCGCTCCGCTTCTAACCTTGCAGCGTGTCCGTCCGTCTGTCAATAAGTCCGTCCGTTTCCTTTCTTGCTGTATTTTCCTGCCTGTTCGCATGGCTACACTTGGCCTGTCTAATACAGTTTCCTCCCATCTTACCGACCGCGCCTACCTTTCTGACTCGACCTAACTATGCATAAATTACAAATATGTCCAAAAGCGGGACACAATTAACTCGCGCCCTGATTGGGCAATACCTGCCGACCTGCGACACTGACTGGATCTGTCGCACGATCAGACCGCCTCTCTCCCTCGCGATTGGACGTAAGGTAAACATTTCTGCCGAGCACGAAACGCATCGATTGGTTGCAAACAGCCAGCAGATACTTCATTATTGCGTTCAGCTACGCAAAACCTGTCGTATGTACTGCAAATCGGGCACACTAACCACTTTATTTTCTAAGAGCTCTACACACTTCTCAAATTGAGATATTTATTATTACTAATGTAGACTTCACAGATCAGTATTTTGTAAGAGCTGTGGGATGTTATTTTCCACACACTTTTCAAAATAAAGACGATATTAATAGTATTAATATTACTAATATAAGCTTCACAAGCCGCAATTGTAAGAGCTCGGCGATGCTATTTTCCACAGACTTTCTAAAGTAGAGACGATAGTATTTTTAATATTAAAGCAGGCTTCACGACCAGCGCTTTTTGTAGGGACTTTGCGAATATATATCTTTTTTACCTCACCTGGCACTCACCACTGCCACCTTGCAATGAAGGCGCGCGGCTGCACGGTCATTGCACTATCTGCTCCCGTGCACCGCACCCGACGAATGCATGCGCGCACGATAGATAGTTGTTTTAGTCAATTTTATTGCATGTAAAGTATGTATTTGTTTGGGAATCTGATATTAATATATTATAGCAAAGCCAAAACGTTAGTATCAACTGTCTAATATGTTTCTAAATAATAAATACCAGCCTTATATTTCCAAGCTATTGGCTAATATTTAGATGCAAGTAATTGGTTAAAACAAAATATTTTGCTAACATACGCACAGTTTGCAAAATGGTGGGCCTTACGTGCAAGCAATGCGAGGCGAAGATTGACCCGCTTCTACTGAACCCGCAGCGGTCTACGACGGACCCCCGAGCGCGCTGCGTCTGCTGCGGGAAGCTGCAGTACGGCTACGCATTCCGTACAATCAGCGGGCGGGACATCGTGCGGCGCTGTATTGCCTGCGAGAACGGCCCAAAAGCGGTTGAGTTTTGGGAGGAAAAGCCCCCACCACCTGATTCGGCCGAAGTGCGCCGCCAGGAAAGCCTGGCGAACGTCAAGAAGGCGATGGGCCCTGACTGGTACCCCAAGAAGAAAAAGAGGCGCAGCCGCCCTCGCAAGCTGACCGCCCGAAACGCCAAGTACATCGAGCGAAAGAAGCAGCAGATGAGCAAGTAATTGGTAAATACACCCTTTTAGGCCCCCACATTCCTTCCTATCTTTGTATTTAGTATACTGGCTGACCGGGCGAGGCTCGGGGTCGCACATATGGTAGTCAGCCTATGGCGCAGTCAGTATTGTTGACACACCTAAACAGCGTAGCGCCTTTCAAATAATATTTAGCACATGGTATCTACTGTGGACAGCCGCAAGCTGGCCGTTTCTATCTGCGTACGCGTCACACGTACACTCCCTCACTTGGACAAAGGCAAGCCACGCTATCTGTATCGTCAATGTTCACAGAGTATATTCCACTAATGTGCGCTCATAAATTTAAACTACAGTTTTGAGTGAGTACTACGTGCGACAAAACCGTTGCTGTCTACGTAGATACGAGCACGTGTGCGGTAATGCAGAGCGTACAGGTGGATGTTGCAGGTCGATGTGCCTGTATGCAGTTCTGTATTTTAGTGTCCTGTCCATAATGGTCGACATATGAGTCGCGGATGGCTACAAGGTGTACCCGCCGCGCGCGTATAAAGCACTACTGCTAAGAGACGCGCGGCCAGCTTGCCTACATCGCTGCGGTATGGCCTGTGCCCAGTTAGTGACGCGCTGAGTCATATATGCTATTCCATTAGACGCGTAAGCACAGTAAGCCAGCACCATGACGCAAAAGTACCGAGAAAGCGAAAGTGACCCAATGTGCTTTGGCTACCGCGAGAGCGTGGCGCCGACGAGCTTACGAAATCAGCAATGCACGGACATAGCAAACAACACGCCAAGCTGATAAGTAGTGGCCGGAATACAGCATCTAACGTACATGAGCTACTATTCGATTCAAATCTAAAGACCACTACGATATGATAATCTGCCTATATCGATATGGATTCGCATGTTCGTCATACATATCAGAGCTTGCTACTCGGAAAGGATCGACGCCGCTCTGTCAGTCAGTAGCTTTGCAAATAAGTCAGTAAGTGCAAGTAAGATCAATGCATGCGGAAGATAGTGGAATACCCTTCGCTAATATCATAAGCAGCTCAGCGGAAGAATTTCAAGGCATAATATTGGTGTTTGTGGCAACCATCGACAAAACCTACTTGCTCTAAAAGGTACTTCGCGGGATAGGCTGACCAAACCTTGCTCTAATAGACCGTCGCAAAAAAAATGGTGTCGACTGTCTCACAGCGATGACGTGACCGATGGTATTAAGGCTAAGTAGGCGTATTTCCTCCAGCTAAACTGAGATCCCTCACCGATCTATGCCAATTTGGATCATCATTGAAACTGACACGTCTTCTACACAGCATATATAAACGCTTTAGCCACGCGCGCCTCCGATTCGTGTCATTTTGGTAGCTATTTGCTCAAATGGTATTAAACAAAACCTTCCCGGGTAAGATGGTGCTCATCTTGCAGATCACGATAAACCCTGGTCATGTCTACCACAACATGTGAGCACTATAGATACTGTGTGCGGTGTTGTTTTGGAACGTAACATAAGTAGATCACAGTATACATTTATTATATGTTGCTTCGCTTTGAGTAGAAATTCTAAGCCCACCGCAGCGCAGCGGAGGTGGTCGGCCCTCTCTACACCAACCAGCCATGCCCTAGCGTCCGCGGAGCGGACGCCCAGACTGCTAGTTTCCCGCTCCCTAACCTTGTAGCGTGTCTGTCCGTCCGTCCGTCCGTCCGTCCGTCTGTCAATCAGTCCGTCCGTTTCCTCTCTTGCTGCTTTTTCCTGCCTTTTGGCATGACTACAGTCGGCCTGTCTAATACAGTTTCCTCCCATCTTACCGACCGCGCCTACCTTTCTGACTCGACCTAACTATGCCAAAATTACAAATATATCCAAAAGCGTGACGCAATTAACTCGCGCCCTGATTGGTCAATACCTGCCGACCTGCGACACTGACTGGATCTGTCGCACGATCAGACCGCCTCTCGCCCTCGCGATTGGACGTAAGGTAAACATTTCTGCCGAGAATGAAACACATCGATTGGCTGCAAACAGCTAGGCGAGTGCGCAGATACTTGATTACTGACGCAAAACCTGTCGTATGTACTGCAAATCGGGCACAGTAACCACTTTATTTTCTAAGAGCTCTGCACACTTTTCAAATAGAGAAATTTATTATTATTAATGTAGACTTCACAGACCAGTATTTTGTAAGAGCTCAGGGATGTTATATACGATATTAATAGTATTAATATTACTAATATAAGCTTCACAGGCCGCATTTGTAAGAGCTCGGCGATGCTATTTTCCACAGACTTTCTAAAGTAGAGACGATAGTATTTTTTAATACTAAAGTAGGCTTCACGACCAGCGCTTTTTGTAGGGACTTTGCGAATATATATCTTTTTTACCTCACCTGGCACTCACCACTGCCACCGTGCAATGAAGGCGCGCGGCTGCACGGTCATTGCGGTATCTGCTCCCGTGCACCGTACCCGACGAATGCATGCGCGCACGATAGATAATTGTTTTTGTCACTTTTATTGCATGTAAAGTATGTATTTGTTTGGAAATCTGATAATAATATATTAAAGCTAAGCCAAATAGTAATATTTTAAAACATTTTAATATTTTGCCTAATAATAAATACCAGCCTTACAGTACCGTGCTATTGGCTAATATTTGGACGCAAGTAATTGGTTTAAACAATATAATTTGCTAACATACTCACAGTTTGCAAAATGGTGGGCCCTACGTGCAAGCAATGCGAGGCGAAGATTGACCCGCTTCTGCTGAACCCGCAGCGGTCTACGACGGATGCCCGGTCGCGCTGCGTCGGTTGCGGGAAGCTGCAGTACGGCTACGCATTCCGTACAATCAGTGGGCGGGTCATCGTGCGGCGCTGTATTGCCTGCGAGAACGGCCCAAAAGCGGTTGAGTTCTGGGAGGAACACCTGGTTCGGCCGAAGTGCGCCGCCAGGAAAGCCTGGCGAACATCAAGAAGGCGATGGGTCCTGACTGGTACCCCAAGAAGGAGAAGAAGCGCAGTCGCTTTCGCAAGCTGACCGCCCGAAACGTCAAGTACATCGAGCAAAAGAAGCAGCAGAAGAGAAAGTAATTGGTAAATATACCCTTTTAGGCCCCCATTTTCTTACCTATTTGTGTATTTAGTATACCCGACTACAGTGCGAGGGTTGGAGCCGCACATACGGCAAGCTGCCTTTGGCACTGCCAAACGTTTTGACGCACCTACAGAGCGTAGCACGTTTCATTTAATAATTAACACGTGCTATCAACTGTGTATCGCTGCAAACTGACCGTCCCTATCCACATAGGCGCCACCGTAGATGAAAAGTACACTCGCTCACTTGGACACACGCAAATCCGTGCTACGTGTACCATCAACGCTTACGGTGTATATTCCAGTAATGTGCGCTCATAAATTAAACTACAGTATGGAGTGAGCTCTACG